CGCGAGAGCGAAGGCGAGAGGGGTGGTGGTGGCGGGGCTGGGCCAGGGTGCGGGCGGCGGACCTTCGCGGACACCCGCGAGGGACTCGAGGAGGAGGGGGCTCCGGAGCCTCGGAGGGGGGAAACAGCGCAGCGGGCGCGGCCGGCGGAACGCGCGGCGCCGCGAGCAAATAGTGGGGAGCGGACCGGAGTCGCCGGGGGGCCCGCAGCGCGCCAGCCGGGCCCCGTAGAGGATGGCAGACCCGGCGCACGCGCGTGCCTGACGGGGCGGCCTACCCAGCAGGCGGCCTCCTCAGCCGGGCCCCGTGGAGGCTGGCAGACCCGGCGCACACGCAAGTCCGACGGGGCGGCCTACCTAGCAGGCGGCCTCCTCAGCAGGCGTCCACTGGAGGCGTGGAGGGTGGCTACCAGCCAGGGCTCCGCCTTTAGGCTTTTTCCGCCTGCGTGGACTGTGATCATCTGTGTAGCAGGCGCTAGAGTTTGCAATCGTTTACTACCCCGGCGAGCTTACCCGATCCTATCCGGGCCGACAAAAGGCCGCCCCCACCGCTCAGGCAGGTCGGCCCGGGCCACATGGGCTGCAGCTCTGCACTTCTGGCGCGGACTGAAATCCTTCGGTCAAGATAAGTTGTCAGGACCTCCACTCTCCGCTACGCCAGATCTACGCTCTGCCGTAAAACGACAGGTGGCGGCCCACCTGACCAGCGCACGCAGGTGGGCCAGGCGGCGGTCGCCTGGCTGGGCAAGGCGACGCGGGTAGGCGGCAAGCGCCGAAATTCCGAGCTCTGGCACCTGCAAGGTGGGATATTGGTCGCGCAACACATCAGCTCATTGCGGGTTTCGTTAACGCAGTACCGTATCCGCGATTTCGGATCGAACGCCACGCAATGAGGGTCTTGCTTGAGGTTCCACAAACTCCGCCACGCGGCGGAGATGCCCCGCCCTCAGTATTTGGCCGCCCCCGAGGCGGAGGCCCGCGCGGCCCGCACCCGGGTTGGCCCGCGGGATCACGCTGCTGATTAGCTCCGCAGTTCAAACGGTATTTTTCAATTAGGCCGCGCGCCGCCTATGAAAGCATTCGTCACACTGCCTCACGCCGGCAGCCCGAGTCACTGCTCCGGTTTTGTTTCTGCGTTTGGCCCCATCGCGGCTTTCGCCGTGACGCGCCCCTTCACTGTCCACAATGGCGGGGGGCCTTGGCGACCCGGGGACTCGCCGGGCCTCATCTACGGCGCCACAATGCCATACAGGGGGGCGGGGGCCCGCGCCGGACCAACCGAGAAAGTAGCGATCGGCCGCCGACAAAGGGGCGATAGTGAAACTAACACCAACACATCAAACTGATTGGCCCGACATCCACATTGCATGGAATTCGGCCTCTATCAATTTTGTTTTAATTTTGATTCGCCCTCGTGACCCTTTTCGCATGAGGCCATCTTTTGTGAGCGGAACATTAAGGCACGGTGAATTTGTCGCCTCCGAACTAGGTGCCCAGCCCATTCTTTTATTCAGTACTTTAGTTAACTCCTTGCCCTTTCACTTAGCCGAATGAAAGTATGGAACCACAAAGGGAAATACCGGGAAATACGGTGCAGAGGTTCAGGTACACTCGAAGGGGCCTGCATGGAAAGTGTTTGGTAAATGTGTAAGGTTTCTCAGCCCATAGTCAGTCGCATTCCATTCACCCGCGGGTGCTGCTCGCCTGCTGGTCTCGGTGTTCGCCGCTCTCTGTCTGTGAATGAAAATGGCATGAGGCGTCGTCGCGTGCCTTCGTGCGAACAGCCCCACTAAACTACCTTCGAAGCAGACGCGAGTAGTTGTCTCTGTCTTTCAAAATTGAAAAAAAAAAAAAGCGTGAGAGTGTGACTGTGTGCGTGTGTACTTCTGCATATGGCCTGTCCGTGTGAATAATGCATTGGCGCCGCACACAACGCTGCCCCTCCCTCTCCCCCCTCCCCCTCCCCTCCTCTCCTCCCCGATGCACCGCGAGTATGACGCCTCACCGCGCCGCCGTGGGACAGAAAGGGGACGAGTAAGAGGAAGAGAGTATGTGGTCCGTTAATTTCTTGTAATCAATTTACAGTCGCGTACTGAGTTCCGTCCGCGTTGTGACTTTCAAATTAATTTTTTCTGAGTTCGCCCCGAAATTGCAGCACCGAAGTTTGTCTGGGTTGGCAACAAGTGACGTGGTAGAGGTGTGGACAACATATCTTGTCGGAAAGTTGCCTCGGAGAGCCAATAGCGGGTCCTTGCGCCAGACAATAGGCCACCCCCGGCCCGCCCGGCCGGGCCACATGGTGCGCTTTCGGGCTGCATGCTCGGCTCGGGTAGGGCTGCACTTCTGGCGCGGACTGAAATCTTTCTCCCAAGATAAGTTGTCCAGACCTTTTAGCTGGCAGGGTATGGGTACACATAAACATGCCAATCGAAGGGGTCGGCGCCGTGATTCGCATCCGTCCTTCCCGCAGCCGTGACGGTGACGGTGACGGGGCGGGATGTGACGGGGTGCAATGCATACGCGATGAGACTCGACGGGGCGGCTGGTGGGGGCACCTCCTCCTACGACTCTCTCGCGCGGTTTGCGCGGCCAGGGCATTGTGTCCACCTCAAAATGAGAATTCGCGAGAGCGTTTGTCGGGCCATGCACGTCTGGAGAGTTCCGGGAGTCCCATAGCGGTGCGTGACGGGCCGGCCCCGCTGTACTTGGCATGCAATCTCGCCCGGGCCGAGTGCGCCGCGCAGTGCGGGTGGGACACTATGTGCCCGTCGTATAAGGAGCGCCCAGGGTGTCGCCGGCGGCGCGACCTGACCTGCCGCCTGACGACCCGCGTCTGACCCTCGACTCGGGCACCACACACCCGGTGTCCCTGGCGGAGCACAGGTGCCCGATGTGAAGCTCGGGCTCCTTACAGAAGGTCCCCGCCGAACCATCGAGACGCCCAACGTAGTCCTGCCCACTGGCACTACGGAGAAACCACGGATGTTTTTTCCGTACTTTGCCACGGACTTTTTAAAGTGTACATTTTCCACTTGTCGTGTTTCCAAGGGGTTCCGCGTGATTGTTCAAATACTGTGCACAAGTCGATGGGCTACTAACCGTCAATGGTATGGCCCAGTCGAAACAATATGCTCCCACGAAAGAGTGGTCATCTCATCAGCACTCGCCGTGAGCACTGTTAGGTCCCCGTGTAGTTTCTACATGTCGCACCCGGTGAGCGCTATATGCAGACTGTTGGCAGTCGCCGTGGCCGGCCACGCCCCGCCCCGCCCAGAGCACATAAAGACGCGCGCGCGGCCATACAAAGTCTCCCATCCCATCTCGTTGCCATTGTCCCCGGAGTCCCCCGCGCCGTAGACACGCCGTAGGCACACGCGTCGCGGGGGTTATGTAGGTCTCTCCGGCGGGTTATGGGAGCCACACAGGTCCCCCCCTCGGGGTCCTTTGGCCCGGCCCGCGGCGGCGCGGGAGCTTCCAAGCAACACGCGCCTACGGCAGCCCGAAAGTAGGAAGGAGGAAGACAAGCACCTCGCTTGATGGGGACTCGCATGTTTTGACCTCGCTCGGTCGGTTCGAGTGGCCCGAATGGAAGTTGCCGCCGCCGGTCGGGGTCGGCTATCGGCGGCGCAGTGCAGTTAATTCATCACTGGATCCCAACAAGCGACCTAAAACCGCTCGGGCGGCCGAATTGTGTTGCAGCTGGGGCCTCACCGCGCCGCCGCGCCGCCGCGCCGCCATGTGCATGTTGTTGTGGCCCCTTTCCTCGTTCGTTATTAATGATCATCGTCGTCCTAATCCGAGCCGTCCTTCCCTACCGTGTGCCATTGAACAACAGCCCCATATACGAGTCGCGCGATGAGGCTCTCCCCAAGGTGTGCGCGGGGCCGCGCGCGTGGCGGCGTGGGGGCCCTTTTGTAAAACCTGTCGATCGGCCGATCCGTCGCATCATCTAGGGCCCTATGGAATTCCCTTGCCAACACCTCCGGCCGGCCCTGCTGCCTGCCCGCGCCCCGCGCCGCGGTGCCCTCCGCCCTGCCCCTGGGGGGCGCCCTGCGGGCGGGGCCGCGCCCGGGCCCACATGGCTGCGGCGGCCCCCCCGGCCCGGGCGCCCATTCACCAGTGCATGCAGTGCGCACCCCGCCGAGCAGGGGCCGCCGCCTCGAACGGGAGGCCATGCTGCGCGGAGTCCCTTTGAGTCGGCGCGGTCAGGCGTCTCATGCCGCGTGGACGGGGCGAAATTGGCTGTCGTCGTGGGGGCTGGGCGGAGGAGCAGTCATCTCGAAGGGCCGCGCGCCGCTCGTGGTGGAAAGTTAGATGCTGCTGGTCTGGCTTGATTCAGTCAGTGTTCCAGTACGAGTAGTTTAGTAAGTCAAGTGTCGGCAGCCCGCAGCCCGCTCCTCCTCGGGAATTTTCACTAAACTTGTTTCGTAACACAGAACGATTCAGTCTGGAGGCGCCCGGGCGGGTAGGCCTCCCGTCCGCTCTCACGCGAGAGTGGTGCCTACCCACCAGGGGCTCGGCCGGGTCGGATCGCACACCACGGCTGTCTGATTCGTCGATCCGCCCCTCGCCCTACACGCTGACTAGAGCAGCAGCAGCAGCATCACGACAGGCGCTGCCCACTGTGAACCTGATGAGATGTGCCATCTCGCCTCCTCTTGTGCCGAGGTGGGCGTGCCTCCGCACGTCTAATCTAATCAGTGCTTTTTCAGGCGCTCCAAGCAGCTCTCTGTCTAATTTACCATCTTTTGTTTGTCTCTTTGTGTGCCCTACCGCTCCCCTCCCGCTGTTCCCCTGTTCCCGTTTCTCTCCTCCATGCTACGTTTAGAAGGGGGCTTCCTTTGGCAATTCACAAATAAATGCCAACCAATAAGACGCCTGCAAAGCTTTTGGACGACAGGCTCTCGATAAGCAGCGGTCTAGGAATAAAAATGCGAGTGGGGAAAGCGGTGTCTAATAATACACGGTCCACTCGAAAACGTATTTCCGCGACGTTCCCTTTCCCCTTCTCCTCTGCACGTGTTTACAGTCCGCCACAGCCTCCGCTGCCACCGCCGCACCGCGCCGGCTCGCGACCACTTGTGACTGCAGACGCCGCGACGGCCGCACGTCTAGCTATATCTCGTCATTACAATGACTCTCCAGGCAATTAAGTACGAGTTGGGGAAGCTGGAGATTTTAGATCAGCTGCTCTTGCCTCGCGAATCTCTTTACGTACGCGTCAGTCGCGTGAAGGACGGATGGGAAGTGATACACAATATGCAGGTAACATAACCTTGATTTCCATGCTTGAAAGGGAAGGCTTTCGGAGGTGGAACGACGGCTTAGTTGGGCGTATCAGTGGGAACACTATTACTTTGGTTCTGACATTGAAAAAAAAATAAAAAAAATACAAACTGACATTGTGGAAGAAATTTTAACCACTTTCTCTTGTTGGTATATATGTAATATCTCAAGTGCCTGTTGCTCAATGAAATTGTGTTGAAATAATAGTTTTAAATTAGCTAAATTGTTTCAGGTACGAGGAGCTCCTGCAATTGCCATTGTTGGTTGCCTTAGTCTTGCAGTTGAGCTCCAGGGAATGGTTTATGATGACAAAAGCCGACTGCGACAAGATATTGAGGGCAAATTGAACTACTTGTGCTCTGCTAGACCGACAGCTGTCAATATGAAAATAGCAGCAGAGGAGTTAACAGCTGAAACAAACAAATTATTCAGTGATGAGTCTGTTATCGATGCTGAAGACATGAAAAAAAGGTAAAAGTCAAAATTATCTTGCTTATCCATTTAAGTTTACTCGCTGACATATTGATTTTTTTTCTCCAGAATAATTAAAAGTATAGAATCTATGTTGGAAAAAGATATCAGTGATAACCGTGCGATTGGTGGTCATGGAGCTCAAGCCTTGCTGTCTCACGTTAAAAGTGTGTCTAATTCAAAAGTCCGAGTTCTGACCCATTGTAACACAGGCTCCCTTGCAACTGCTGGCTATGGAACTGCCCTTGGTGTCATTCGTTCATTGTTTGCTTTGGGAAAATTGGGTGAGAAAATTTCCGTGAGATTTTCAATTAGTATTTTAGTTGTTTGCACCTAGTGTGTGTTGTAACTCAGTTTGATATTGATTTCACTGGTTTCACACATATAAATATCTCTCTCAGAAAAAGCATACTGCACAGAGACAAGACCCTACAATCAGGGAGCTCGACTCACAGCTTATGAACTTGTCCATGAAAAAATACCTGCCACAATGGTGTGTGATAGTGCAGTATCCGCTCTCATGAAATCAAAAACTATTAATGGTGTAGTTGTCGGAGCTGATCGAATCGCAGCAAATGGAGACACAGCAAACAAAATAGGAACATACCAGGTCAAATATTGATACAAAATCTCTAAAATATTTCTTTGGCTTTCAAAATTTGTTGTTTAATTGTCTTTTTGTCATCATCATTTACAGATTGCTGTTCTTGCTAAGTATCACGGTGTTCCATTTTTTGTTGCTGCACCTCTCACTTCAATTGATTTGGATACCCCTAACGGTGACCGCATTGTTATTGAAGAGAGACCTGCAATGGAAATGACGCATGTTGGAGGGCAACAGATTGCTGCATCTGGTAAAATCACCTGTATTAGTATGAGTGGGATATCAGGATGGATTTGAATCAATTGTTCATTGCTTTTTACCCCTTTTCAGGCATTAACTGTTGGAATCCAGCATTCGATGTTACTCCTGCAGATCTCATAACTGGTATCATAACAGAACATGGAGCTTTTTCTCCCTCTGAACTTGCAGCAAAAATTGCTCCTCTAAAATCAAAACCGTCGTAGTTTCTTTGAGGTATTGAATACCGTTGTCCAAAATAATACTCAGTCTGAACCTGAAGAAATTTTAATGACTGAAGTAAGAAAGGTTTTATAATAATGAACAACCACTATCAGCTTGGTTGTAAAACTGTATATTTTTTATTATTTTTATTATCAGTGTTACAAAAATATTCTAGACTTCTCCACTTTTAATGAACATTTATAAAGCAATTAATTTAACCTGCACATACAGATGAAATGAAAGAAAACCTGTACAAGTAATATTTGCTTGAAAGTTGTGCTCTATTTGCGATATGGTTTCTTTTCTTTAGAGGCCTGATTTATATTTTATAACGCTTATACTGTTCCTTGCACAATTTTCCTCTAATAAAATATGTACAACACGGGTGTTCTCTGATTACACCCAAGGATATCAACAATTAAGTACAGGAATGCAATCTATAGCCTAGAAGCAAAAGAACACAAGCAGCAAATTATCTTATTGAACAAACCTCAAAACATGAGGTGTAACACATTTACTACAATTTGACAACCATACTCCTTTTAAGAGTAAACACTGCTCTACTGAGAAAATTTTAAAAGAATGACACCACTTCAGTCTATGCTTGTAACAAAACATGTCACAATTTGATTTTTAAAAACTTTGAATCACAGATCTATACTTCGCTCAGCACTCTGACTAAACTAAAAAACCAGGTTACATAGTACAGTTTTTTTCACATTTGATTATTTTTTTCCTAGAGAGTACGTCAGAACCTGAGTTCTACATTCTGGGTCTACATTCAGAACTAGTCATCAGCATTACAATTTACTATCCCTCATTGAATTGAATTTGTATGCAGCAACTAGATACAATTGCCATGGCCTTTGAGAAAAATATAACAACTGTACTTAAATGTTAGCGTGTATCTACAAGAGTAAATAGAAGTATGAAACCTTTTAAAGATAATATACATACAATACCAGATCTGTAACATCACTCCTCTAAAAAGAATGAGAAGGGGAACGAAAAGAGACTATGTCCTATGCACCTTTCTATGCATTGCAAGCTTCAAAGGGAGCAAAGACCAAGAATACAGCAGGATTGCTTTCAATAGCTATCCAGTTGAACAAGTTATTGTTATGACTCTTGTGGAAGTGGAAGAAGATAATAAATCTAACTGCATAAACAACACAAAAACAACAAACAAACAAAGTCTAGTAGATGGACAGAGGAGAAAACTACATTGACTTGAGACTACCACTATTCCAAGTAGGATTCACCACAGTAAGTAGACAGACCAGACGCATCAAATAGATAAGCATACGAAACAATAACAACATAACAAATCAAGTCTAAATAAAAGTATCAACACAAAAAGACACAACATAACATAATTTAAAAACAATTCAGTTCTCTGTAAATTTACACAGAAAGTAACATATTTTTTCACACCTTATACAGTCTGGACACCAATATCCATTGCACATTTGCATTATTGGTACGAACATTTGTACAAATTTGCCAAGTTTGATTTTGAATTTGCAGTAATGTTTACCAATTTTGCACTTCACTTAAAAACACTATATTATGTACAGGTTCCAAAAAAGAAAAGAAAAAGATCATAAGAAAGTAAAAATAGAAATCTCATCAATACACCTACAATTAAAAAAACAACATATCACAAAAGTAAAATTCAATGTAAATATGACGCATAAACAGTTAAAATAAAAAATAAAAAATGAAAAACTGCCGGTAAGTGTTTTACAGATGTTAGAAGGCCAATGTACTTTGAAGCAGTTGAAAATTAAAGGACAATCAGTCAAATGTGTTCTAGTTTAGTAAAGTGAAATTCAGAAGATTAATCTGCACTTACGGGTTTCACATTGGACCTACAGCAGCAGCAAACAAAACAAAACTTAGGTTGTAACAGGTACATAAAAATATTATAAGCAGTGCTTTTCATCTTCATCTATATCTCACCCACTGCTCCTAATAAATATAGACCTATTCATTTAATGAGAATAACAATTAACCAACCCTTTCTGTAAATGTATACTACGAATCATTTCTATTGGGGAAATGTTTCTTAGAAACTTGATTAGAAACGGCAATTTACATCAGACTTCAGCCACATAAAAATGCACCAGTTGTTAAATGTAATACTAGTTTTTCATGAATAAAATTTAACAGTAGACAATTACGGCCAAACTAGCCAAACATATTGATTTGGTGTAAAAACAATACCATTCGTAATACCTTTCTAAAATATATCCATCATTCTGTGTTGGCAAGATTTTTGATAATATTTTCATAAATTCAAGACATAACAAAGCAATAGTATCACTTGTTATGGACCAAGTGTTTTATTCATTACCTTGGATGCATCATTACATCCTCCTGATGACGATCCTGGAAAATAAAATTGTGATCAATAGAACAAAAAAATAGACCCAAAAGAGATTAAGAGACACTTAAATAAAGTAACATGACAACAAGCCGTCTAAATTCAATGATAATATCCAAAAGCACTTACAGCTAATCTTCTATGAACCATTTTTGGAATAGGGTGACCTGGATGGATTTGATGAGGTTGGTGAGCTTGGTTTGGCTCATTATTGTAGTCTATTTGATCTAAATCCTCATCTGTTAATCAATTAAAATATATTTTTGTTAATGATCAGGAGAAAACATTATTAAAATTTTAGTACAAAATTATTCTTTAAAAAGAGTTTTATTCCTATAGTAATATTTTACCTTCATTTTCATTGTTAGCGGGAGGATCTTCTTTGTCATAATCACCACCTTGGTAGTTGTAATGTCCTACTGGATGACCTTCCTGTTGGCCAGCTGCGAGCCCATGATGTTTACTAATGGAGGCAGAAGATCAACAAATCACATCAGTTCAAACTCAAAAGGATGAAGTGGGGAGAATAAAGGTACTTCTTCTTACCCATGGACAATTTCTTGATTATGATTGCCAAGCTCAACGAAAGGATTTCTACCTTGCACCTCTAAATCTGGGTGCTGGTTGATATCCCCATCAAGAGGGACAATTTTAACATTTTTTATTGCACTTTTTAAATAGGGTGGCATAATACCAGCTCTTTCAAATTGATGATTTTGGCCCACAAAGAGATGTTTGTTAACATCTTGGGCTGCATACTTTTTATCATCAAAAGATAAGTCAGCATTTTTATGGAGGTTGTAAGCCTCCTGAGCTCTTGCACCATTTGAATTATACACATTGTCATTGTGAACAAAGTTATGTTCCAAATGACTCAATTTGGAATCTGGCAGAGCAACAAAATCATTTCTGAAGGGATTCATGTTTTGTTGGATGACTTGATTGAATTTTGGTAGATGCTGGGCTAAATTATGCACATGGCCTGGAGGAGCAGGCAGCACATTATTTTGAACAGCAGCAGCTACAGCCGCAAGAGGTGGCATCTGACCCTGATTTTGAGGAACTTCTTGGTGACCAAGTCCAATCAGTCTGTATGGCGCCTGAAGAGGCACAGCATTTTGCTGCAGAGTGAAATGGTGTGTAATTAAATCATTTTTTTATCATAGAAGAAAGATATAAATGACAGACAGGCTTTACCTGAGCATATTGATTGTCACTTCCAAAGCCTATAGGTGCTGGCAATACTCCTTGTGGTCCATTATTGGCAAAATCGTGTTTCTGAAAATTTATTAAGTAAATAAACAAATTCATGATACGCTCCCATGCAGTACACGAGACTTTTGGAGAGCACTCACTTCTACAGAAGCATGCTGCTGGAATGGTGCTAACATAAGAGGCACTGCTAAAGCAGGTATCGCTCGGGCCTTATCTTGACTTTGTAAGGCATCTGGGTTTACTTGAGGGGTTGTTGATTGCTTGCCTGATGGCTGCAATAAGACAGACAGCTTAGTACGTAGTGTTAGATCCAGAGAAAACTTAGATGACATCTCTAAGCTAAGATATTTGAATTGTTTTATAGGCAATATAATTTAATGGAGATTTTCAAGGTCAACAGATAACATAAGGGTGTGTAGTAAATTGTGTGCTCCTCTCCATTTTAGTATGTACACACAGTTAAGTCATGCAAGATTTATTGAAAATAAACAAATTTAACAAAAGAAAAACTAAGCCAAAGTCATGTAGATAAAAATTTAATTGGTTACCTTAGACACAACAGATAAACCTGGTTGAGCAGGTCTTGCTGGTTGTAGCATTTCGTCCTGAGCAGCGGTTGACCTTTTTTGCGCCACAGGCAACACATTGTGAGGGGGTTCATGTAAACTAGCCAAATTCCCAGTGTCGGTATCACCACCACCTGCAGTATCAGCAGCATCCGCATGCTTTGTTGATGAAAGCTTAATAGTATTTGATGATGCCTAGAAATGAGAAAAGACTGTAGGTAAAAAGTAATCAAAATCGTCATGTATCCTTAAATCTTCACCATCAATACCTTTCCTTTCTCTTCTGGCCCTTGTTCAAGGTGGCTCTGTAGTTTTTGGAACAAAGTTTTATTTTCCTCTTCAAGCCTTAAATATTTTAACTGCAAAGATAGAGGAAATTATAAAATTCTCTGTTCCACAATTTTTTTAAATAAGAGTAAGAGAAAAGAATGTACCTTTAGATTAGAGACCTCTGCTTCTTTTGCAGTTTGATCTTTTTGTATTGTAGAGATTTGGAGCTCCATGTGGCTCAGAGCCTCGGCACAACTTGCCTGCTCTGCTCTAGCTTTATTGTAAAATTCATTAAGATCATCATGTTCACTTTGCAATAATTTGTACTGTTGCTGAAGTGCTTTGTACTTATTGATATTTTCTAAATTTTCTTTGTTTCTCACTTGCTGCTCATCATTCATCTGTGATTGCAACTCTTCTTTGGTTTGACGATGTTCTGCCTTTTCTTGGTTTAATGATTTTTCAAGATTTTTCTTATATTCAGATATTACTGTTGGTGGGAAAAGTGACAGAAGAAACAGATACAAACCATTTATTTTCAATTTTCCATCTGTTTTTTTTTTTTTAATTTTATTTTTTTAAAAGTGAGAATATGATATACTTGCCTTGAACCTGAGCAGCTAGGGAGTCTTGCTCTTGGCGGCACTTACTAAGAGAATTACTAACTTCATCAAGTTCAACACGAGTGCTGTGATATAAAAATATGACTCCAGCAAATAAAGTCAACACTCCTAAGCAAGCAAAAAGGCGACCCTTAGTGCCCCTCACGATTCTTGAAGACGTCATCATTCTGCAGTGCTCTTCACCACATCCTGCAGAAGGACGTTAAATATGAGGCAAAGAAAAAATGATAAGAGTGTGTAAACAAAATCCACAGTCCTTATCTCTTCTGTTATCAGTGTCTCAATATAGGCAACAGAATTTGAAATAAAGTCTCACTCTTCAGATGAAAATTTACAAACACTGAAACTTTAGGCAGTGTAAATTTATCTTTTCTGATTTCAAGAGAAAATGAAACAAATACGTTTCATCACAATGAGGGCACATGATTGGAACAATAAAAAGGGTGAACGCGAGTTCTAGTTAGTTCGGCTACAGAACAGGGGCAGTTGCATAATAAGTCACAAAATCATTAGCACGCAAAAGACATCTCATATTTCTGATACAATCAATTTGTGGAAACTGGATGAATGGATTTGGTTGGTGACACGCAGTGGCCTACATAGACTGACATGACACATTGACACATTTTAAACATGTATGCTAGATAGAGTAACAAACATACTAATAAATATTTAAAAACATAGACGAAAAAGAGATATTTTTGAGACGTAAAGAAAATGGTGATCAAAAGATATAGTGATATAGTAAAATAGGCAAACAGGTCACTGGTAAATTGGGTTAAGCACTACAGGGAACCGATGTCCTCTTTTTAAATCGAGAAAGTGAGTTCGTCAGGCTACAAGTAATTTATGGAGATTGCCAAACTCTAAAACACGAAATTTCCGAAAAATACAAAACATAGTTGTTGCTAAATAAGCCAATAAGCACAAAAGGTCGATTTTTGCCGACAGCTGATCTAAAGGCAGAATACTCACACAAAAAGGTTTTTTCGGATCTATGTTGAGTAGATCACCTACAGCCGATATTTTAATTCAGCAAATTTCGTGGAATTCAGAAATTACATGGTAAATAGGTCACGAAAACCTAAATGAATGGATACTGGGTTTGTTTTGACGTAAGGACAGCCGTCTGTAATGTTGTCATGCGGTGAAAACAGAAGACAACTCCCATGGTTACCAACCCTTTCTATTTTGTTTGTTTAAGATTTTAAAAAATATACAACGTTTGGAGAAGAAAAAATTGTTTGGAATACAAAAGAATTTACATTTATCATATTTGCTGAAGGTTGCACTGATTTCTCTTTTGGTGGTTCGGAATATTCGAAATCTTCTGAACCAATGCCGGTAACCTCTTATCACTAATTAGTAAAAACCCGCAAAGTTGTATTTTTATTTAAGGTTATTTTACTTTAATTTGGCCGTTTAATTATATCTTCATCATTTGATCTCCTTTTTAAAGCAGGTAAATTAGTTTAGAATCTGAGTGCTCCGCCAGTTTCAGTTTTCGCAAGCACTGGATGGAAAAAGCGGTCCCACAGCCAACACGCTAAATGAACTTTCCACTTCCAGTCTCGCTCTAGCTTCCGTTCGAGTAAAGCCTAGCGAAATGGAAGAGAGGTTTCGTTCTCTTCGCGTAAAATTGTTTGAAATTACTGTTTTGAGTGTGTTAAGCGTACTTTAAGTGTGTTTGTGTCAAACTTTAGTGCTTCTAGAAGACACGAGACCTGCAATAAGGATTACCTGGGTAAGTTGTGGCGTCCTTTCTCTTTAAGAAGTGGCCTGCCTCTCCCCGGAGACTTCATAAGCCAGAGAGAGACAACACGAAAACTCAGCAGGCGAACTTGCCTACTGTGGTCCCTTCGTACCCGTGCATTTAATCCTGGCCAAGCTAAAGAATTATATTTTGCGGTGTCGTACCGTCTCGTCGAATTGAAGTACCCCCCCTTTTTGCTGTAAATCAACGGTAACCGGTTTTATTGTTTTCGTCCATGCATGACGTCCCTGCAATTGTAGAGGAAATGCTTGTGTACATGAATTGCACTTCATCATTTGTCCAGTCAATAATATTTTTTGAAAAGGAAAATTATGTTCCATGTAATTTTGGGGATTTCTGAATCTTCTCTCTGAAACTTTGCTTGTCTTAAACCCTTAAAATTTAAGTTCACTTTGTGTGAAGAGCATTGTATTATTGGAGAAAAACAAGAATGACCCCTCATACAGATTCAGTTTGTGCTATTTATTTTCATGCACCTTGGTGTTTTGTATAGGTTACTTTGAGGCTAAGTTTCCAAAAGCTTTATAGTGAAAGGGGCATAAGTTTCAAGTGTAACTCATCTGTCTAATTCAGCCTGAAGCTGGAACCCAAGGTTAGTTTCTGTACTTAAAGTGTGTCCACTCATTATGTTACGCTGTGATCATGTTTTCTAAACATAATGAACCCTGTTAAAGAAACATGCTAGTTTCAGCTAGACGCAAGAGGAAATCTTAGCCTGTGCTCTTCTCCAGATTTTCTGGTTCCAGTGCGTATTCTCTCCGTTTTTGGTTTCGTGTTGTGATTATATTATTCTTTGCTCACAACTGTGTAGTTGTCTTTCAACTGATGAATAGATCAGAATTGGCAAAGTATAGTGATAATTTACTAGGAGACCTCATTCTTATGCTTTGCTCCAAGCCCCAATCCTCTGTGAGAGTTGCTTTCTACAATGTTCTGTGCTAATTTATTTTTAGTAACCCTCTGAATCCATTCTACTAATTTGCACCCCTTCCTTGATGAGTATCTCAAAATGGTCTCTGTTCAAAGAACTGTTCAAAAAATTGGTGTTGTTTTAAAATGCTGATTGGAATGGGAAGCCAATCCAACCTAGTTCTTCTCCACCTCCCCCGAAATCCCAACTGAATTCAACGCAGCATGTTTTTCTTTCTCCCCACCCTCCATTTTACCTGTGCCTGACCTCCCTTCCCGTTCCAGTCGCCCCCCTTTCTCCCCGGCGGACGTGCGCCCCGCAGCACAGCCTCTCCCTCACGGAGCAACGCACCCCCGCGTTTGAATTCCGCCATGTCGTTTCTTTATCGCCCCCGCCTGCCCCCGGCTGCATCACCTTGCCCCGGCCCGGGCCCGGGCGCCGCGCCACGCCTCCGAGTCGCCCGAAGTGTTATGGCCGTGCATATTATCCTTGACGTTTTTACGGCCTCGGTGTTGTCGGGCGGGGCACGGGGCTCCGGGGCGGCCCCTGGGCCGGCGAGCTCCGGGCGCCGGGTCCTGGCGAGCGCCGAGGAGAGAGAGGAAATCCCGTTCCCTTCCCGGGTGCGGGGTGAGGAGGGGGCGGGGCGGGCCGCGCTGGGCTAGGCCTGGCCAGCGCATGTCGCCGTGGTGGGTAGGCAGCACGCGCGGCTCTGGTGCGGCGCGCGCTGCCGGGCCCTGGCCGCGACGGGCGCTCCGCGGTGGTGCCCCGCGGTGCTCCGCGGTGCGCTCCGTGGCACCGCAGCAGGACGAGGCCAGCGTGGCCTCAGGAGCCGCAGCAAGCAGCAGCAAGCAGCAGCAGCAGCCCGCTGTGCTCGCGTCTGTTTTTGGGGGGTGGCGTGGCGTAGCGGAAGGGAAGGAGGGAGGCGCCCGACTTGGGGTGGAGGCGGAGGGGGAGGAGGGGACGGAGGCCTCTAGGGTGGAGCTGCGCCCAGCTTTGCGTGCGAGTTTTTAGGTTTACTCAAAGTCGGCGCGGCGCGCACCCAGAGACGGGCGAATCTCCTCCTCTCAAGTGATATGTTTGTGATCGCGTCTCCTCTGCGGACGTCCTCCGGAGAGAGAGAGAGAGGAGAGGGGGGATGGATGGAGACGAGTACCGAGAGGTACGGGGAGGAGAGCGGAGAGAGAGAGAGCGAGAGAGAGAGAGAGAGAGGGGGGGGGAGGTCGTTAATTTATGCCGGCGTCGCCTCCGCGGCGTCCTGCCTCCTCCTTTGTTCCGGACGCTGTATGCTACTCCTCCTGCGGTGGTTCCTTCGCCAACCCTAGCGGAGCTCGCGGGCCCCGCCGTGCCCCTGCCCCCCCTCGCGAGAGGGTGAAACGTGTGCGTGTGCGCCCGCGGACGGTGCCAGCGCAACCAGCCCAGCCCCGCGTGCCTGGGCGGCGGGAGCGACGCGGAGCGAGGCTGGCAGGCCGCGTCGGCCGCCATCTTGTTTCGGGAACGCTTGGTGGGCCGAGTCGGGCCGGGCGGGCCGGGCTCGGCTCGTGCGGTGCGCAGGGCAGGCGCAGGGCGTTGCCGACGCGTGAGCCCAAAGGGGGTGCGGGTGGCGGGGCCGCCGCGGGGTCGCAGACGGCCTGCACGACCTTGCGGCAGGCGCGGCCGCGCGGGGGTGGAGCGAGTGTCGCGCGGCCGGACCCGCGAGAGAGATACAGAGAGCAGCACGGTTCGAAAGGGGGACGCGGATCGGCTCACGCTCACCCACGCCACGCCACGCCCGGCCTAACCCGATGCTGGCGTGGCGTGGGCTTGGAGCGACGGCGGCGGCGGCGGCCTGCTGCCAGCTGAGCTGCGCCCGCTACCCCGCCCCGCCTCGCCCCGCCTCCCCCGCTCGGCAGCGCCGCCGCTCGCCGCGCTCTCTGTGGCGTAACGCTTAGCTGCCCTGCCCCGGCCGCCTACAGGCCGCCTGCAGGCCGGCCCGGTGCTGCCGACGTGCAGCCTGCGGAGCCGCCTGCTGCCTGATCTCGTCCCTTCTGCCATCCCTCCTCCCCTCTGCTTGTTGCTCCCCCCCCCCCTCCCCTCCCGTTCGGAGCGCTCCGCTCCGCTCCTTTGTCCCGGCAGGCTGGCGTGCTGCGCTGCTGCTGCTGCGTGCTCATCCTCGCCCCGGACCCGGGGGAGGCTGCGCTGCGGCTGCAAGGGCTCCGAGGAGGAGGAGGAGAAGAAGGACGGGGCGGGGGGCGAGGCTGCCCGGGGGTCGGGGCGGAGAGGGGAAGGGGACAGACGGACGTGCAAAAAAACACGAGGCGTCGAGAGCAGCTGAGGGAGGCGAGGAATGCGATCTGAGCGGCGTGTCGCCCGACGGCCCGACGGCGCGCCCCGCACAGCCGTCATCGTCATGTGAACGTATCTGGAGGAAATGGACCGCGTACTCGGGGGATCTGTAGTGGTATCGCGATCGGGGGATCGGCGTCGTGGAGAGAAGGAAGGCGGAAAGGGGGGGGGGGGGGGGGGGGGGGGGGGAGGGGGGGGGGGGG